TGAATATGAATAAATGTGAGTTAGATCTGTTTAATGTCACACCCATCTGCTCTAAACTAAAGGTAAAATGTAGCTGTTAACTTGAAAACTACCACTGCATGACATCATAAGGTGGAACAAAGCATTTTGAGCTTTGGTACACAGACTAATAATAAATGTGTGAATGAAATAAAACACAACTCCAGGTCTGTTTTGGACGAGGTAACCTCATTATGACATGATTAAAACCTCTCATGAATCAATTTTGTTTAATATAGAACCTTTTTGCCCTGTTTAATTTTATTTTACAGTTAATTTACTTATTGTGCAGTAGTTGAACCTTGCCTGAACTGCAAAATATATTGTCAGAATCCAAAGGATGTGTACATTTTTGTTGGTATCAGCCCATATTATGCTGCCCTGACTTCGTGACAGTGGTTAACACTCATGCATCAGCCGTCTGTGTTCCCTGTGGATTATAGCTCCAGCTGTGCGGTGCCGTGTCGTCCCCATCACAGCCTCTTACGGCTTAAACAGGTCGCTTTGTTGTTGACAATGAGGTGGGAAAATGAAATTCAACACCGAACTCCCTCAACTAACGTATAGATCTAACCCAACTAAAGGAGCACCATCTGGCTCGAAATGTCATCTATTCATCTTAAAGGAAAAAGAACAAAAACAACAACAACAGCAAAATGGAAATAGAAAATAAAATTGTGTTTAAAAATTGTGTCCAATGTTTTATGATTTTCAATCCATATTTTTGTCATTGTTTAATTAGAACTAGGCTATAGAACTAGTGGAGATGTTTTTTGTTTGTCTAGAATTTTTCACAGTATGGCATTAAACGTTTCTGTGTTCATACAGACCAAACCAGACCAAGTTACAGGTCAGATTTGTGGAGAGTCACAGTCAGAATATTTGTTATTCTAAGTAGATTTGAGCTTTAAAACCACATGTAGTTGAATAAATGTAAGGCAGAGCTGTTTAATGTCACACTGTGGAACATTCCAGGCAGCGCAATGACATCTCCGTGGAAACAAGCAGGTGATGGACACCCAAACAAAAGGTTACATAGTGCACCTTTAGGAATAGTCCTGTTCTAGACCTGGTTTAGATCTGGTGATCCTCAAAAGGACAAATATTTTTGCAGGTCCTTGGTATAAAATTCTGAGAACTGTGTAATAATATAAATGTATTTATTTACTGCATTTTATCTTACCACTTTATCCATCCATTCCAATTTTTTTCCGCTTATCCGGGTTTGGGTTGAGGGGGCAGCAGTCTAAGCAGGGACTCCCAGACTTCCTTCACCCCGCACACTTTCTTCAACTCCTCCAGGGGGACCCCGAGATGTTCCCAGACCAGCCGAGAGACATAGTCCCTCCAGTGTGTCCTGGGGCTTCCCTGGGGACTTCTTCCGGTGGGACATGCCCGGAACACCTCCCGACAGATGCCTGAGACACCTCAGCTGCTCCTCTCAACGTGGAGGATCAGCGGCCCTACTCCAAGCTCCCCCGTGTGACTGAGCTCCTCATCCTATCTCTAAGGGAGCGCCCAGCCACCCTGTGGAGGAAACTCATTTCAAACACTTGTATCTTGTCCTTTAGTTCATTACCCAGAGCTCATGACCATAGGCCACTTTTTTATGTGCAGCTTATACAGGGTAAGCGCACAGCAATACCATCATGCAACAAAATAAATTATAATAATAATAAATCAGCGTAGTCAGTGTAGATCCGGAGCTACTGGTCGCTCTCCACACCCTTCCAAGTAGCTCGCCAAGGGATTTTTGAATTACATTTGTTGTGCTGAATAAGTCTAATTTGGTTAATTAAATGCCTTTTACCATTATGCATGTATCATTTTGATGCTTAACTTTGTGCTCTACTATGGATAATGGTTTATGTTTTATAGACATCTAACTGTACCTCATCTAAGGCTCAATGTGGCTCTTATATTTACTCAGTTTCCTGTGACTGCTAAAATTAGTAGCTCTCTGGCCTTTTCATTTTGTAAAGGTAGCTCACCGGAAGAAAAACGTTGGAGACTCCTGTAATAAATCTTTATTCTTAGCTGTACAAGCTGCAAAGAAGCAAAGAACAATACAAAAAGCATAAAAATAGCAAACAGAAGGCACACAAAAACTGACAATGATGCAAACAATTCAATCAATTATAATAAATACAAAGAAAGGGGAGGTTAAAGGAAGGCCAACTGATAAAAATGGGTTTTAAGAGGTGATTTAAAAGATGATACTGATGGTGCGAGCCTTATCTCCTCAGGCAGGTCGTTACAAAGCCGAGGCACCCGGACTGAAAAGGCTCAATCACCCTTCATCCGAAGCTTGGACTTTGGAACAGCCACAAGAACCTGCCTGAGGATCTGTATCTGCGGGAGGCTCATATGGGGTTTAAAGTTTTGAAATGTAACTTGGTGCAAGACCTAAATGAGCTTTAAAAGTGATCAGTAAAATCTTAAAATCAACTCTAAAGCACACAGGCAGACAGTGAAGGGAAGATAAAACAGGAGTCATGTGCTGAGTGATTAAGAATGATTAATTTATTTTGGTCACAGGTATATTCTGACATTATTTTACAGAAAATCATATTTAACATACACAGATCGAAAAGGTGTCGGCTGAAGACTGAGTTTATTCTGCCTTTTCCCTTTATTTCTTTGTCAGAGCATCATTTTGACACCACTTCATCTTCATAAATACAACAAGAGGAAACAAACAAATCAGTAACAGTACAACAAAGTACTACAACACAAACTAAGTCTCATAATTCATGTATCTGCCCAGAGTTAAACATTTAAACTTCTTTATAAAATGGAAGAGAGTGGTGCACAGTTTTAAGTTTTCTGTACAATTGTTCCAGAGCTCCACCCCTTTAACAAATACACAAAATGTCATAATGTTTGCTCTGATTTTCTTTTTCATAAACATGGCCGTGCCTCTGAGCTCATATTTCAGATTTTGAACATATTCTGTAATGATTTTGACAAGAAATTGTTGTTTACTTTGAACATGATTTTCAGAGTTTGAAAACGTATAAATAACACATTAGTTGGTTCATTATAAGTTGATAATGTGATTGCTCTTATTGCCTTTTTTTGCAAGGTAAAGATTGGATTTGTTTTAGTCTTATATGTATGTATTGTTGATGTTGTTGATTGTTGATCATATTAATTGCTTCCTCCAATCTTCTAGTAATTTATGCATATGTAGTGTATGTAGCCCTTTTATACTCATGAAGTACTAGTGCAGGCTCTGGGTTCTTTTACTGTTACTCTGAAGTACAGTACAGGACCTTTAATTAATATGTAATACTAGAAACCTGTTACTTAACTAGTATCACCAACTTGTTACTTGTACAATATTGTAAATAAAATGCCCTTGTATATTTTAAATGAGTAATAAAGTAAACCTAAATGTCATGTTCCCAAATGTTCTTTTAATGGATTTTTATCTGGATTACAAGTCAATTTTGCACTATACTGAAGAAAATTTCCATGCACTTACTTTTGTTGTGACACCTTTCTAGCCGATAACTTGAGATGAAGTGATGTGAGCAGGTTTGTGACGGGCCCTCGCGTTGACAGTGTTTTAATGACCCTCCACAGACTAAAGTGTGACACAGGTAAACACCCCTGACTCCCGGCGGATATTTATCTTTCAGAGTGACGTCTTAATTACATGGCAACTCTGGAGCATCTGCAAAACGTGAAACCTGACAAAGTGTTTTAGCTTCTAACAAGCAGCTGAGGAGGTCTTCTGCTATAACATGTTTATTTTTAGTCAAAACTATAGAACTTGTATATACAAATGGAACAAGTTAACCCACTCTCTGCTGTGTTCTAAATGGGGAGTGAGTATAGGGGCGCTTACAGCTCCATCAATGGTTTCCAATTAACTTCACATTGAAAAACTCCTCTCTGGCTTTGGCATTTTTGTCTTAAATGTTTGTATTAAGTCACTGTACATGATTCTGGTGTCTTTATTATGCTATTTTTTCTATAAATAAATTCCAGTTCCTAATACCAAACTCTGCTTCAAATTCGCCTCAATAACTGCAGGCCTAATGAGCTTCATTTGACTGGAGCCGAAAACTATGGGTGACATCACTCTGCCTTAGTCCACATCTTTACACAGATATGGAAAACAATAAAATGGGATGTACATGATACTAAAAAATTACTTCTCAATAACAAAGCATGTAAAAAATAAACACTGATATGCAAATTAACACATTTAAACCATTATGCAAAGTTTTCTATTATTAGATTATTATAAATAACCTTTACTGCTCCACAACCCTACTGTCAATATGTCTATATAAGCATTAACAGTATAAATTCTATGTGTTTTCAAGTTATTTTTGGTAAATTGATAGGTATAGACTAATTATTTTCAGATAAATGACATAGGCAAGGTTTCCAAATTTATTTTTAGTAGCCCAATAAGCTTTTTCTCACACTATAAGTTCACCTTAAATCAGGAAATAGGCAAATAAATCTGTTTACTATAGTATATATAGTCTATTATAGTTTCTTATTTTAGGATAAACTTGTTAAGAATATTGTTGGAACATTAAATCACGTGTATGTATGCATGTAATTCTACTCCTGTATATCTTTATGTGATTTTGTGGAACAATTTTGGTTTGATTTTCAGTTCAGGGGAATTCAGTTTGATTAAATCTGAGCGTTTATTTTATCATTTTATTATTGTTGTTATGATTATGTATTTGTGCAGCATTTTGGAAACTGTTTATGAAATGTGCTATATAAATAAAGTGGATTAGATTGCTGTGTTTTTTAGCTTTTTTTTTTTTTTTTTTTTCATGTGAACTGTATACTTTTATAAGGTACCGTTTTTGTTTGTATCTACAAAACGAAAATCTGCAGTTTAAAAAAAATCTAAAATAAAAATAGTTCGCGAATATCGCAAATTCAGCAAATTCGCAAATATCGCAGATCTGTTTTCACTCAGGCGCCTCTATGTTACGTCACTTTCCCGCGACGGCCACAGCGAGAAGACCCTTAGCCGCCGGACTTTGCTGGACGGTAACACCTTTCCGCGTCCTTCAGTAACAAAATGTACTATAAATTCAGCGGATTCACACAGAAACTTACGGGAGCGGCACCGGCCACCGCCTACAGCCCGCAGGTAAGCGCCGACAACCGGATTATTGTCCAATATCAGCCCGGTTACCAAAGAGTATGACCTTCACGTTTCCCAACATCACCGCAAACACCGGGGCCGCACGGATCAGGCGAATACGTGTTAGATTATACATTACGAAGTCAGTTTAACGTTATTTAGTGTCATTTTCAGTGTTTTCGAGCTGTTTTGTAGATGGTAGAAGTTGTAAATTGCGGGTTTAGATGTGAGGCTCAGTGCTACATCCTATTAGCCCGGTGCTAATCGGATGTCACGTTTTTGACCTATGCACGTAACTTGAAAAGTTCAGTGTTTTTCCTAAGTTTTCCTCATTAAAAAGCCAATTCTTATATTTTTAGGACTTAAAACTGTGTAAATGAACGCGCACGTAAACTGGCACTACCTCAGATGACCCCCTGTTGTGCTCTCAAGGTGTTCCGACTGTCAACTTTACTCCACATCACGAAGCATCGAGTTTCATTTGAGGTTTGCGTGACTTGATGTCGCTATTTACCCAGGACAGTACCAGTTTTGAGCCCTGTGTCCCCTCTCCCAGCAGATTTGTCCCCGTTTTATACAAGAAATGTCCCAGGTGTCTCAGATATTTTTGACTAATCTGATCCTTGCCTTCGATATAACACGAAAAAGCTGCTTAAAAATGAACAAAACACAAAGAAAATGTGACTAAACACAGCTCTCCTACGGTGTAATTACAGCAAAGCAAAGATGAATAAGTTCAAGGTGGCACATAATGATGCTCTCAGAATTCTGCTAAAGACTCCAAGGTGGGAAAGTGGTAGTGCTTTGTTTGTGACTGCAAATATTCCCACATTCTAGGCTCTAATGAGGAACCTCATGTATAAATTTATGTGTAGGTTAAATGAATCAAGAAATGGAATTATATAGGGGTGTGCAAAAATATCGGAATATCGATATATGGTTTCGTTTAATGTGATGAATACAGTATCGATATTGTGGGCTACTGTATCGATATATCACCAAGAGTATTTTTAGGCATGTTTTACTAAATTATTTTGTTACAGAGCTACAGTTTTGTTGCTTGTGGAGTGAAAGGAAGCTCATTTATGCAACACATTTGATATTTTTACTGTTTTGATGATTAAAATGTTTGTGTTTCATATTAACTTTGCACAAGAAGTGGTTTAACAAAGACTTTTAGTGTCACAGCCATGATTTAGCCTTTATTTTTTATTGAACCATATCGAATCAATTTGAAATATATCATATTGAATCGAAAGTGCACTGTATTGAGATATGTATCATATCGTGGCCTGTGTATCGAGGTATGTATCGTATCGGCAACTTCTTAATGATACCCAGCCCTAGAATTATAACATGCTTGGCTGATATAAAGGAAAGTGACACCCAGTATTATTCTGACACCCGGAAATGTTGGAAGAGCCAGCTAGATGTATTTTAGCTATATGGACCTTGCATCACTATGTTTTTTTGTTTTTTATTTTTTATATGTGTATGTGTGTGCTGGTGGTGTGTTTATATATGAATGTAGTGTATTGTGGGTGTGTGTCTATTTGTGTACGGCTTGGACTCTGAGTCTGTAAATAGTTATATATATATACATAAATTGACTCACATTAGTGGCGAGTGCAGAACAGTTTTCCTTAACTATGCACTTGATTCACAATTTTATTATTACCAACCACCAGAAACCAGGGATGTCCCAGTTTTTTTATTTTTTATTTTGAAAATCCGGTCACCCTAATTTTAGTAATATCTGCATCCAAGGATAGCCTCAATGTAAATAGGTTAATGTAAATGCTACATGTGGTATCATTTTACCGTAGTTAAAATAACTCCTCGTGACTTTCTCCTGTATGAGGTATGAGTTACGAGTTGAGTCCACGTATGGATTTAGTTTGTTTTGCTTTTTGTTGCTGCTGTTTTTGTTAATTACAACCAAAAATAATATGTTACAAATTTCAAGGTGTGGTAGAAGTTCACTGGTAATTATTTTGGCAGCAAGTACCGGTTTTTCTGTTTACCTGTTTGTTCTGAGTTCCGTATTTACAAAGTCCACCTTTTCTTCGCATTGGTCTAGGAGAGGTCAGGTTAATTTTTTTTTTCTGTGAACATCTGAGCTATTGAAGGTTGGACAATGAGCAGCTTAGTTACCGTATTTTCCGGGCTATTAGGTGCGCTCTTAAGCCTCCAAACCCATCAAAAAAACGACTGTATGCCCCACAATCAAGAGCGCTCTATACTAGGGATGGGCATTCATTGAAATTTTCTTAATCGATTGTTCGGAAGAAGTAACGATCGATTATTGATTAATCATTAACGTTTTTATATTAAAATGATCGTCATTATTATTACTGTCTGCACTACTAATCTGCATAAATAAATTCAACTTTACGACATAAACCGTAACGACTCTAGAGCCACATCAGCCCGTTTGAGATTATAATGTGTTTAATTCAGTTTTGCGCAACTCTCACAGAAACAAAACTTAAAACTGCATCGCTAATTTGCATAAACTAAGAGAAGATAAAACTACAGCTCTTGTGTTGCTGATGTGGTCAATTTCTGTTGGATTAAAAGACATGACTCAGTGGAATACAGGTTAGTGTGACCATATTAGCGTTTGTCAAAACCAGGACACTGTACGGGGGGTGGGAGGTTGGGACTCGTCATCGACATTGCGCGACTCTCACCTGGCAAAACTTTTTCCCACTGGACACCGAAACATATGTGCTGCTTTGTACACTGTGCACATGGACTCACACTTGTCCCAAACGCAACGAAAAGCGTGGAATTTCTTATACAAGTCATCATTAAATACGCATTCGGTACGTTGCAGACTGACCGACTGTTTGTGTTTGCTCGCTCCTTCTGATACAGAGAGCTACATGTACAGACCCGTTTGGTCACGCTACGCACAGCAACCTACATTCGGTTTGTCCATTAAAATGAACGTAATCGATGAAATTCTTAATGATCAATTATCGATTAATCGATTAATCATGCCCATCCCTACTCTATACACAAATCCTCTCGGGTGTCCCAGCACAACTTCAGTAAACTACTAAGTCGCACCACCTGCAGCGAACGCAAACACACACGGAGCAGACAGCGACCACACATCGAAAAACACCCACAGCCACACTCATCACTCCACGCCGATGAGGAACAGAACGGAGGAACGAACCGAAAAAGCGAGTGCAATGTGCCACTTCTAGACACAACTGAACAACTGAGTCACTGCGAACACGCCGACAATCCAGCGGTCCCAGACAGCACCCTCCCTACACGCCACAACTGAACAAAGCCCAGAGTCACCGTGAACGCCACAAACAAAACCACTGACCCATCCAACTGTTGTGTTTCGTTTAAAGTCCGGTGCGGTTTATTTGTGAAAAAAGTTCGAAAATAGACCATTTAATGACAGTGTGTTTTATAATCCAGAGCGCCTAATAGTGCGGAAAATACTGTACCATATTTATAGCTTATTGTAGTATATTTTCACTATATCACATGTGAAGAATTGTCTTTTGCTTTGCTCTTTGTTAACTTTCTCACATGTTTGCTTTCCTTTTCACAACTTAATTCCACCCTATATATTCCTAAAGGTTAGCTAATGTTTGTGTGTTTGACCTTTGGGGAGGTTTTATCAGCAGTTTGAGTAAATAACAGCGTCTCATTGGGCACATCGCGACCTTTACTGCTGCTTTGTCCTTTATCTCAACGCCCCACTGTTATTGGGCTACTGTAGGTCAGACACCCTTTTATCTTAATGGGGCTGGAGAGGTGGTTTGGTTTGGATTTTGCATAGAGAATGAATGAATACACTATTTAACTTTTTGTTCTTTCCAATATCTTCCTTTAACAAACAATAGAAATTACCTTGACGCAGAATTTCACAAATTACAATAACAAAAAGCAAAATAATGGTAATACAATTATAAAAAACTAAACAAGTTTTCTCAATACAAATATACAGATTTATTTTTAATATATACAAGTAAAATAAAAGGATTACTGAAAAAGTAAAGCAGTAACATTGCCATGAAGACCAGCAGTTGGCAGACCCCCACCTGAAGCTGCACAGTGTATGGGGGTGAGCGATGTACCAAAGTAATTGTCATGATTATTATGATTATCATGATTATTAAGAGCTTCATCCTAGATCAGAGGTGGGCAGTTATTTTTTCCGTGGGGCCACATGAGAAACAGAAAATATTGTGAAGGGCCGGGCCAAAATGTAACTCAGTTTTGCATAATATTAATTGTATTTCTTTATAAAAAGCCGTACATAGCGTTGTTTTGATGAGCTGGTCAGACTGGTAAGAGTTTATATTATGACTAAGTAATGAAAAAGTGAGGCTGCCTTACAAAAAATGTCATTTAAAAACGCCTCTAAAATAAAAGCAGTGCAGCTTTAGTCCATGTATGAGGTCAAATTAAATATAAAAATAAAATATGTTTATTTTGTAATTCCAAATTATCTTGAACAGGACAGTCAGAGTCAAATAAAGATCCGTATGTGGCCCGGGAGTTGTACAATGCCCAGATCTGTCCTAGATCCTGCTCGGTGTTTCCTGCAGAACTTTATAGTTAAGGTCGCTTTGACAACAAGTGGCCCCCACCTTGACTACGTCCCTCTGAACCACGTGAATCCTTGTAAAACTACGATCATCTCCACGTAACCCCCCTCCTGCTCCTTTTTCGCCAGCTCCGTCTTGCCTAAGGGGAACACTCCGGGAAACACTGCTGCTGTTTTTGGTTTGATTAGGATTAGTTTCATTTTATCTGCTCTCAAGAGGTTACTCTGTTTTTTTTTTAAGAGTTCAAACTTCACTGTGATTGGTTAAATCCACTTGTCACTCAATCAGCGCATGACAGAAGCTGACCACTAGGGGGAGTGGGTGGGGGAAAGTGTGTAGCGTTGTATTTAAACACAAAACCATGAATCTCTCGATAACAGCAGTTTGGCTCAGACCAGGAGGTGATTTATTTTTCCCAGTCCTGATTTTTCTTTAGACATGGAACTTATGGACTCGTATAATCTTACACACAGTAGGCTCTTCCTTCAGCTATAGGTACTCCTGTGTTACATCCTGGTAAGATTTATGTTATTCTATTTTCTGTTTTGTCCCCGAAGGCCTCGCTCACAGCCGGGTCATTTGGGTCCAGCTCAGATTGAGTTTGAAGTGCCTCTTGATTGTGATGCTCTGATCTGGAGGAAGCTGCTTCACCCACTGCAGTTTAGAAAATAAATCTCAATATTACCTTATTTTAGTGCGTGTGGAGGAGGAGAGTGGGAGCAATAAAAATTAAACCTGACACATCAAAACACAAGCAGAAGAAGCCCTTTTTATATTTGCAAATTCACCAGAAGGATCCGCATATGAAGGGTTAATGATTTTGGAAATGTATCTAATGGCAATTTTTGGGCTGTTGTTGTTTTGGATTGAGTTCAGAGTGCGTTTTCACCAGAAGCATTTCAAATCTGAATTACTGTAATCACATGCACTTCAGAGCATCTTTGAAGATGTTCAAGCTACAGGTTTATTGGGTTTATGAATAATAAAAGAGGATATCTTCTTTGCAAATACAATTATACGAAGCTTCTTAAATTATTCCAGTCTTTGCGATTTGCGAATATTGACCCTTTGATATTGCCTACGCTTGCGGCCTTAATGCAAATTCTGTTTGGATTCTGAAACGTTTCACACAAATTGGACAAAATTGGACCATTCCTGAGTAGTTTTGGAATAAGTGAGTAGCGTAAGACCACACGATGAGACAAAAGTTAAACTGAGGATTACACTGTATAGTCGTCCCTCGCTCTGTCGCGGTTCACCTTTTGCAGCCTCACTGTTTTGTGGATTTTTTAAGTGCAATTTTGCTTTTTTTTTTTTTTACAGCTTATGAGCCCGTGTATTGTGTTCCTCCCCCTGCATCCTGATTGGCTGAGGGATTGTAGACCACTGTCAATCAATCTCCTCCGTGCCGTGTCTCCTGTACAGTACAGAACGTGTTCAGCTTGACAAATTTACATGAATGTTTACATAAATGAAGTGCAGCTTGATTGGGAAATTGCTGCACTTACCATGAAGTGCGGAGCTTTCCGTCGGTTCTTTCTCATGCGGTCACCTCCGAGCCTGTCCCGACAGTGAGTCCTGTTTCAGTTCTGGTTTAGTCCTGGTTTAGTCCTGTTTTAGTCCTAGTTCAATCCTAGTTTAGTCCTCCTCTTCAGTCCTGGAATCAATCCTAGGTTAGTCCTGGTTTAGTCCTGGTTTAGTCTTGGTTAAGTTCGTGGTGGATGCAGCGCAAAAGTTTGATATAATCTCGGGTTAATGGGTGGGTGCGGGCTGGTGCGGGCAGTTTGTTACATAAAGAAAGAGGAAAATAAGAAAAAGGCGACAGCAGCAAGTTTTAAGAAGGATGCCAAAAGTGTTGTAACTGTCCTGTCTGAGAAAAGTGTGTAAAGTTTGTGCTGAGGGGTTTTACAGCCTTAAAACATTTATAATAATTGTAAAATATAAAGTTGACTACTTTGCAGATTTCACCTATCACGGGTTATTTTTAGAACGTAACCCCCGCGATAAACGAGGGACGACTGTATTGAATAAAGTGCGTTTTTAATTAAAATTATGATTGTAGATTGTGATAGTATCAAACCTGCTCCTTAGTGTTGAAACTCAAGATAAACATTTTTAGTGTCGTGAATCATTAATATTGTTGTACGTAGATATTTTCTATTTTCTTAGATTTTGACATCCTCACATCTTGGACAAATCTGCAGCAGAGCCTGGTCCTCTCAGTGAAAATAACACATGGGTTTATGTTGGACAGGAAGCCACCGCGCTGATCGTTATCTGTGGACAATTGAGTTCATGTATCGACAGGCCCAGTGTTGGCCTCACACAATGAGTCGTATTGAAGAAACTGGGGCGCCACTTCTGGTTTGGATCAAAATATATACAGGATACAAGAGGTTAGGTTCTGCCAAAAACTGTAATTTTGAGTTTTCTGACATTTCTATTTGATTGCCAGTATTTCCCGTTTAAGGTTTAAGGTTTTAACAAGACTAAGGCGGCCCAGGCAATCCTTGTTTAGAATAAAAATAAAAACAAATAAATAAAATCTTTGGACTAAATCTGTCACGTATTAATCCAACTTTATTACTCCAATAAAGTTACCTGTATATCTAAGTTAATACATCAGTACCTAAAGCAAAAAGTGTTATTTTTAATACCACATTAATGCTGAGTTTTATCTAGAACAGGGGTCTAAATCGTAGCATGGTTTAGCTCTGGTTTAATCTGAGTTTAGTCTTGGTTTAAACTTGGTTTAGTCCTGATTTTAATTCTGATTTTGGTCCTAATTTTAGTCCTGGTTTTAGTCCTTGGTTTAGACTTGGTTTAGTCCTGGTTTTAGTTCTGGTTTAGTCCTGGTTTTAGTCCTGGTTTAATCCTGGTTTTGACATGGTTTAGCCCTGGTTTAATCCGGGTTTAGACTTGGTTTAGTCCTGATTTTAGTCCTGGTTTTAGTTCTGATTTTGGTCCCAGTTTTAGTCCTGGTTTTAGTCCTGAGTCCTGGTTTAGTCTTGGTTTTAGTCCTAATTTTAGTCCTGGTTTTAGTCCTGGTTTTAGTCCTGGTTTAGTCCTGGTTTTAGTCCTGGTTTAGTTCTTGGTTTTAGTCTTGGTTTTAGTCCTGGTTTTAGTCCTTATTTTAGTCCTGGTTTAGTTGGTTTAGTTCCTGGTTTTAGTCCTTTAGTTTTAGTCCTGGTTTTAGTCCTGGTTTTAGTCCTGGTTTAGAGTCGCAGTCCATGTTGTGTATACAAGGCAGAAAAGGTGACGCTCTAGACTATGAGGAGTTTGTCAGAATGGCGTCAGAATTTCACAGCTGATACTCGCACACACAATTACCGATAATAATCATTACTCCTACAGATGTGCACAGATGTGGACCGTTATTTTATCTTTGTGTGTGTGTCGCTCCTCCCCAGTGGCTCTTTGGCCGCTGATTTAGACTATTGAGGCAAAGATTAGACTATGAGGGGGGGGTCTTACAAGAGATGAACCTTTGTGGAAAAATATCAAATTCACACTGGTGTTGTAATTGTGATTTCTTTTTGAATTTTTTTTTAATTAAAGAAGAACTATGAAATTGCATTGTTTTGCTCATAGTGTTTAACAAAATGACTGAATGAAAAAAAACTTGGATGCACGAATCTCAATAACAATAATCAATTGACTCCAATAGGATTCAAGGATACGTTTTTACAGATTTTTTTTTCCGAAGTTAATCAAAGTAGTGACGATTGTAGCTTCCAGAAAAACACAACATGAAACACTTGCAATGGAAAGATTGCAGTGCACAGTTTTAGAAATAATGAGGAGTGGGCGTATTTTATGGATAACTTTGGAGAACATTCCAGGCAAACAATAACATCTCCATGAAGACAAGCAGACCCTTAAGCCGGAAAAGTTACCAAGTGCACCTTTAAAACAATATCCAATCATTTAAATATTTGTCCTTGTAATTTTCTGTTTGCAGGGGCTGAAGCCGAGCCTGCCGGAGCCCCCCACGATGATCTTCGCATCACCGACCAAAGTGGTGTCCGAGTCGGGGGCTGTGGTCGAGTACATGGGGTCCAACAAGGTGCCAGATCTGCAAAGGATATTCCAGGTACAAAACACACAAACAAAAACTGTTGTACTAAATATTAGAGATGCACCAATACGGATAAGAAACATTAATATTGGTTCAGCTGAGATCCTGTCTGGGCCTTTAATTGAACTTAATAAGATTATTTACGGGCTGATTTTGAGCCTAGAATGTCTCAGTGTTTGAACTCTTACTCACACAAAGCTGTTCTGTTGTTATTTGAAGGATAAATGACAGTTCGATCTCTTCTTGTCTAAAAAGTTATTTCTTTTAAAACATATTTTTAAGGAAATAACACTGCACTACTTGGTATGTATCGGGTGCCAGATCTGCAAAAGTTCTTCCAGGGACAAACAAACAATCGTACTCAATAGTAGGGATTACTGATACGGATACTGATACTAAAAAAATGAGCTGGATCAGGTATTTGTTCGATGATGGTTGGGCTTTAATTGGATCTAATAAGAGTATTCACAGGCTGATTTTGGCCTTGAACGTCTCATAATGTTTGAAAATTTATTCATACAAAGCTGTTTATTTGGATGAAAAAAGGAGATCCGAGTTACTCCGAAATACTTAGCTATGATTTGCTATGATACAACTGTGTATAAATACATTTTTTGACATACAAAGGAGACAAAGTGATGCATCAGAATAGAAATGTACGTCAAAAATGGATATATACACTGTTAAATGCCTCCAACATACACCTGTCAATTTTACGTTCCGTGATGAAGATTTAAGTCGAAATGCGAATAAAATCATAGCAAAGTATATCAGAGTGCCTCGGATCTCCTTTTTTCATCCAGTCAGTCATTTGCCCACTTGGGATCTCCGAAGAGCACCTGATCATTATTATTTTACTTCAGCAGTGATCCAGTGAGCGCTCTAACTACAATCTACCTCTTCGCATTATCGCTGACTAAAGCTGTTTATTTGTTGCTTTGTTTTACACGATTTTAGAAGTTTGATTAATTAAAGGTTAAATAAAACGATGAATAGCAGTTTCATAACACAATCGGATCTCTTGTGTAAAAAATGAATTGTATTTTAAGGAAATAAAGCGCCATTTTTCATCCCTACCCTGGTATTGTTAAGTTTAAATTGGCAGATAATTAAAATAAAAGTGTCAGTGTCTAAAAAAGCTGTATTGGTGCATTTCTACTAAACGGGGTTGAACAATTTGGAGGAAAAGTCTTACTCTGATTTATCTGTCTTGCATTGAGACTGTGATTAAATTTACGATTTATGTTTTAATAATAATAGGATTTTGTTCAGAAGAATTATCAAAAAGTCTGAAATATGAAGAATGACCTGAAGAAATATGTTTTTTACGTGAATTCTTGGGATTATAACGGAAATAATTCACACCAAATTCTTGTCAGGCTATTTTAAAAGCAAAAATTGTCCTGTCTACAATTATATCGCAATAAATATCGTACCGTGAGATTTATATCGTGAAAATATCTTATTGAGAGATTTGGATATAGTTTCATCCCTAGTGATTTACTAATTGCGTCCATTCAAATTGCGATTTTGTTTTGGACTGTGACTAATCTTGCAGCAGTGGCACTAAAAAGCCGGAAGAAAATGCTTTAAATCAGTTCTGTATTAGCATTACTTGCATTACAAAAATGGATTTGGCAAGGTCATGTTATAATTTGTGTTCCAACCTCAGAGGCTGGTACATGCCCACTGCTTTGTACTTACTTTATTCTCCAATTTTATTTTCTTTAATCAGTGATATGTGTAGGATTTGGCAGCGCAGCGTAATCATTTTAGTACTGATGGAGAAAAAAAATGCTACTCTCTAGGGATGTAATGATATCCAAATCCCTCAATACGGTATTTTCACAGTTCCGATATTTATTGCTTGCACTTTTGTACTTTTTTTTGTTTTTTTTTTTTTTTTATTGAATTCCATTAGATATACAATTTCAAACATATTACAATAATGTGTTTTACATCCAAAAATACAGAACAAAACGAGAACAAACCCAAACTGTTGCACCATTTTAAAAAAGATAAATAAATAAAAAATAAATAATAATCATAATAATAAGTACATACAAAACATTACTTACTAAACAAATAGTAGTTACTCCTGTGAAATAAGTGAGGGATCAACATCTTTGATCATACTCAAAACAGGTTGCCAAGTACTGTAAAACTTATATGTACAGCCGTATTTTTTAACACAAAAGTCAGTGGATCAGTTCACATTTTCGTTTTGCCATTTGTAAAACTCTTTGATTGCGTTGTCAAATCACAAGAGCACTCACAGCTACGTTTTGCAGAGTATTCACCGCATTATTTATTTGTACATCGTCACAGCCTCCGTTTGAAACCGAAGCAGATTAAAAAGCAACATCGTGTTCCCATTAGCGCGCTGCAGTTTGTTTTATTCAGAATCTTTCATTTGGGATGAGATCGTGACCCACTGAACAGGCCTTTTAAACTGCAATAACTCAAGTCCCCAGAGAATTTGGAGGCGACAAATGGATGTTAAAGATCAGTTAATCAATGAGCTTCAGTAATAAGAGAGAAGGCAGAGTACCAATCACACTCTCCAAGGAATAAAACATGTAACATAATGTTTTTTGGGGGGGGTTTATTGGTGTCGAAATGAATGCTTTCAAATCAAGGCTGTGAAATGAAAATCTTAAAGATGCACTGTGTAACTTTTCTGGTGGAGGGTCCAGTTTGTCTTGTTTAATCCACAGTTTGGAAATAAATTTGGTAATCACAATGGAGACAGATTTATGGTCAGATCTATGGAGAAGCAAGCCTGCACATGCTAAGATTTAATGTTTTTTAAGTAATTTTTCAGCTTTAAAAACACCTCTAATTGAACAAACGCAAATGAGATATGTTTAAAGCTCTACTGTGGAACATTCCAGGCAAAGAAATAACATAAGGCTCTGCAATTAACTGAATTTTGATCGCGATTTTGATTTGTGTGTCAAACGATCTTGAGTAATAACGGGTTGAAAGGATTTAAAGCTTAACAAAGTTTATTTTGGGATGATTTTTTTAATACAAATAAGTATATTTATTAGATTTAAAAAAATATAGAGATTGTAGAGCAGCTGGATATAGTTTATTTTGGATACATTTATGTTTTTCTATGCCTTATTTCACGTATAAGTGGGTGTATTTTATTCATTTTATGTTTTATACGTCGCAAAACTGCTCGAAGGTTCATATTTGTAGACTATATTTATTTTGAATCTGAAAGTTTTGCGTGAACAACAAAGTGTTTTTTTTTAGATAGAAATGCTGAATAAATGCATCGTGTAACTAAAAAATAATCATTTAAATAATCGTGATAATGATTTTTTTCCATTATTGATCCACCTTAGAAGTTACTTAGACCATAGAGAAGTTTTCTAGCACTGCTTAATGTCTGGGTGCAGGTGCTGGGGTTTAGGTATTGACGATTCAGAACAGAGTGAGTCATTTTAGGTTTAAACCAACTCGATTTCAGCATTGAATCTGGCAACCTAAGTGCAAGACTCAAGCGAGGCTCATTCTGCTTTCTGACTGGATAATCGTCTTGAACCAAAACCCCAAATTATAACATCACCAACTTTTGTAATTACGAATAAATCAGCATCACAGTTGTTTTTAGTGAAGGCTGTATTTGATTTGAACTTGTTAACTCTGGGATAAACCTGCTAAAACTTTATATTTGTTAATAAGTTGGATAGTCCTTGAAAATTTGCACCACTCAAAAACAGGCTGTTGACACTGACTCATTTTTTAATTTAAAACGTGCCCGGACTGGTGGTTAATGACCTTATAATTTCCATTTCCAGTGAGTCATTGAACAAGCAGAAATCACAAATCGACCTGGGCCATTTTCTAATTAAAGGCTTTTGCCCGACCTGCTGAGGCGCAGCTGCGAGGAGGCCCCCTGCAGTCTGTGAGAGCCAATTACAGCCAAAAGGAAATCCCTCTTTATAATTAAACGTCGCTCGATCTTGTGAGCTGGTTTCCTCACTCTACAGAAGTGTGACTGTGTGAGGTGAATGCGATACCTGAATCCTGCAGTAATAATGTGAGATATACAGTACGTATGAAGGAAAGAGGTGCCTGCCAGAAGTTCTTCTTCTTCTTTCTCTTCTCGGAAATTTACTTTTTAAACTTATTATCATTATACATATCCTCTTTAAAAACATACCTGGAGTTGTATTTAACTTAATTTACACTTGTTTGATGAATCTTGAGAGTAACTCTGTTTTCCTTGAGCTGTCACAAAACAGTTCTTGATTTTTACCAGGATTGTTGCGTCACAGGTAGAAACCCAGTGCAGTTTTAAAGTCCATAAGATTTTCAGACTTGTTCTAAGCATTTCTGAAGTCCAATTATACTTATTATTACAGCTATTTATTTTCAACTAACTCTTTTATTAAATACAGGGTTCCTACTTTTTCACTAACAAAATTTCAAAATTTTTCCATAACTTTTTTATGACCTACAGTGAATTTTCCATGACTTTATGACACCTACATGTGTAGAATTGATCAGACTTTTAGGGCTAAATTTGAAATGTTAACCCTTTCCACTGACCTTATTGTTTGGTATTATAGTTTTGTAACATTCAAAATAAAATAAAGTGCAATTATTGTCATCTCTTTTTAACAAAAGGTGCAGATGTTCGTAAATAATCGTAATAGCCTAATGAGAACTTAACAGAACGCTGTAGTTGGTGAAAGAGATACTAAAATTACATAACTTTCCCAAAACGTTCATTGAATTTACAAAATTCCATCACCTTGTCCAGGCCTGCAATATGACATGTTCAATTTCCATGAGTTTTCCAGGATTTCCATGATTGTGGGAACCTTTGATAACTTTAGTTTTATTCCTTCTGCTGCTAGTAAATGGAATTCTCATATCACTTCCTACAAACTTACACACATTCTTTGGTTCTTTGACAAATATATTCTCAAATAAAATCACAAAAAATGTAAGATTGTGGCTCATTACTGTGAAACGGCGCAACAAAGCGGTGAGACAACGCTTAAAAAACACCAAATTTGTGGAAAAAATGCGTAGCTATCCAAGAGTTTTGACTAATATTGTTTTGTTTTTGTGTGTGTTCCAGAGGGCAGACGGTACCCCAGTCCATCTAAAGGGAGGTTACGCCGACAAACTGCTGTACCGCACCACCATGGCTCTGACAGTAGGGGGCGTAATGTACTGTTTGATGGCTCTTTACATGGCAGCACAACCCAAGAAAAACTGATTCAGGAACAACTGGACTGCCTCCTCCGGTTCACAGCGTTTTTATATGTTTTTCTTTTGTTGGGACTCTTAAAATCCACTAATGGTGACCAGCCGACTCTTTAAATAAATTATACCATGTCTGTTTTCTCTGTAAAAAGATGTCTATGAATAAATTGTAAAAAATGGAAAAACTACTTTAATTCTTTTGTGGTTTATTTTCTATTTTCTTAAATGATTATGCCTATGTAAAGGGCTGTATCAGATTTTTTTCATGCAATAAAGTCAAATTTGGCGAATCAGGAAGTTTAGTTGATGCGCTGTTAGCATGCTAGTTGTTGTTAGTATTACATTGATGACAAAACTCGCTTTGCCTGTAATGTTCCACAGTAGGAAATCAACTTCATGGAGACAAACTGATGGTATAAGATTTTTTTTTCGGTGCAGTAAAGTAAAAGTTGGTGAATTGGGAAGTAAAGCTGGTGCGCCGTTAGCATGCTAGTTGCTGTTGGCATTACAGCGACGTTAAAACTTTGCTCCGGCTTCTGAAAGTTGAGAAATTAGAACTGCACACAAACGGAGCACAACGCTTACTTCCAAATAATTTTCCTTTCCAAATAATTTCTTTTGTGGATCAATAAAGTTTGTCTAAGTCTTCGTGGTTTGCGGACGATAAAAATCCTGAAGCACATCGTATAATTTTGTCATCCAAATGAGAAAAATTTAAGCAAAATTAAAATATGCAAAATAAAAGTCATAAAAATTATGGACGCCTATTTTTAAAGTGATTTTATTAATGAAAAGGGAGCGTGCCTATGTTTCCACAGCCCATTCTTCCCTCATTTCTAAGTTTTTTTGTATGTTTTTTTTTTTTTTTTTTTCCCAAAATTAGACCCTATGCTCTCGTATTTCCTTTATCGTCAATTTCCATCAGATTTTATTCCAATTTCTTCCAATTTGGTCGTCAATTACACCCAACCTATTATCCAGCAGCAGATTACAAATATAATGTAGACGTCATGGTGCAAAGGTTGAAATGACTCTGAATCATCCCTTTTAACTGTGGTAAAAATAAAAAAATGAAAATGACTTGAGATAGAGTTTCCTTATAAGAAAAAACTTAGAAATAGGAAAAATCTTAGAAAAGACTGAGCATAGAGCTGTGGGAACATAAGATCCCAACGAAAAACATGACAAAATATAACATACCTTATGTTGTCAGAAGGGATGTCTCAATCAAATATTAGAGTTAAAATTATTTATTAATTATTGTGAGGAAAAAATAATAATAATAAAAAGAAACAGAAAACTCACACCAAAATTCTTGTAGAGGTGCAAATGCAGCAATACAAAAGTGAAAAAATGCATAGCAGACTCAGATGATCGATGTCCAAAAGCTTTTTTTTTTTAAATAATGTTTCGGCAAAAAAAAAAAAAAAAAACATCAGATATTTTTCTTGCTTTGGACCACAGCATGGAAGGAAAACAAAAAAAGTCAAAACAACTCTTGAATCCATAGTTGAATGTAGTTATCTAATACATTGCCATTCCTCAAACAGAGTTTTAGGAAATCAAACTTTCTGAACGCAACTAAAGAAATAAAAGTGAAATGTGTAAACAGATGATTAAAAAGCACTTTAAATCTGACTTGACATTTTTTGGAATACAGATGCTTATATAAAAAAAATAGTAATGGTAATGTTATTTAATTTAGCGACCTAATTTTACATTATTTTGAAACCAGTTTGTCTGATCCGTCATGTGTCCTTCGTCTTTGAGAGTTGATCCAAACGAGCGTGACCCAGGTTCAGACGGCATGCATCGCTAAGGGGGGTCTCTGTAGAGTACTACCAAAGCCTTTTAGCAGCCCTTACTGCGGATACATCTCTATAATTATATACATTAGGTGGCTTCTGGTTGATGTTTCTCATACTGCGGCTATTTTAAGGATGCTTTATGTTCTCCAAGTGGAAATGGGATGTTGAAAGGCCGGTGACGGAGAGGTACGAGCTGTCTCTGCTAATGGCAAAGGAAAATCAATTTCTCTTAAATGGACAAACGTTTTTCTTATACAAACCTACCTGGATGACTACACATACTTCTGCTCATAGATTTTTCTGATTAAACATTTTTGAAAGTTTAAATTTATGGTACTTTTCTCGTGGGTGTGTCTCCACTGATCTGTTTTGCATTCGTTCAGTATCTGTTATGTGCACACTTATGGCTCTGTCACACCTTGACGATTTAGCCTGCGTATGCCGACGTACTAGAATTTCCCTAAAACGCTGGCATACGCTGAACTATCGATGTATTTTTTTTTCAATTTTGGGCATATACATGGCATATTTGTAATGAGTTGGACATATACATAACCTATGTGTAACTTATCTAGAACAATTTGATAACTTATATATAACTTATACCAGAGGTGGGGACTTGCAACTCGTGACTTGGACTCGAGTCTGATTTGAGTCAATATATTTAGGACTTGAGACTTGACTTGATAAAATGATCAGTCTTGTCCTTTAAAAGCCTCTGTCTTGTCTTGATCTCATCCTTTAAAAGTCTGTGTCTTGTCTCAGTCTCAGTCCTTTAAAAGTCTCAGTCTTGTCCTTTAAAAGTCTCAGTCATGTCTTTTAAAAGTCTCTGTCTTGTCTCGGTCTCGTTTTTTAAAAATCTTGGTCTTGTCTCAGTCTCAGCCTTTAAAAGTCTTGGTCTTGTCTCAGTCTTGTCCTTTAAAAGTCTCGGTCTTGTCTTGTCCTTTAAAAGTCTCGGTCATGTCTCGGTCTTGTCCTTTAAAAGTCTCGGTCATGTCTCGGTCTTGTCCTTTAAAAGTCTCTGTCTTGTCTCAGTCTTGTCCTTTAAAAGTCTCAGTCATGTCTTTTAAAAGTCTCTGTCTTGTCTCGGTCTCGTTTTTTAAAAGTCTTGGTCTTGTCTCGGTCTCATTTTTTAAAAGTCTTGGTCTTGTCTCGGTCTCATTTTTTAAAAGTCTTGGTCTTGTCTCAGTCTTGTCCTTTAAAAGTCTTGGTCTTGTCTCAGTCTCAGCCTTTAAAAGTCTCTGTCTTGTCTCGGTCTTGTCCTTTAAAAGTCTTGGTTTTGGCTCAGTCTCAGCCTTACGTTTGGCAGATCCTCAGCAATTAGAGCCACGTCTCCCATTGAAAACTTTGGCAGGTCGTGAAGACGCTGCTGCTGAATCCAGGGTTTTATCAAATGCCCAGACACCAAAAAGTCGTCACCCGCATGTTTCCAGACGTTTTCCGATAAGTGTGAATAGAACCTGTTGCTCAAAAATGACTTGGAAAACATGCATGCAACATCAAATTGTTACCGCACTGTTGAAGATTTAGGTGAAATAATCACAAAATCTCTATGGTGACAAGCTTTTGGAAGACCGTGCATCTTTACTATTTTTATATTTTAAGGTTTGTTTACTGGAAGTGAACGTGCTGCAGCAACATCCTCTGGTCTATTGTTAGAAATGGGGCTTATAAAACACACTGATTGATGCAGCTATAAAGTGTTTCAAGAGGAGCTCTGGTTTTCTGATTGAAAGCACTTCTACTATTAAAGGTACACTATGTAACTTTACCGCCAGGGAGTACGGGAAACCACCACTTAAATGTTCCACAGTATTGCATTTAATTTGTCTATCATTTATTTAATTACAGATGTTGTTATTGATCAAACATACCTTGAAAAACATGCATTCAGTGGGTTCGGCTCTCCACAGATCTGACCTGTAACCAGAGGTGGGGGCTTGCAAGTCGTGATTTGGGCTCGAGTCAGACTTGAGTCACTATTTTTAGGACTTAAAGCTACGTTTATATGATGACGGCCTGGACAGAAGATGCAAAAGTGGCGTCGCATCTTCACTTTTTATTCGACGTTTAGATGAGCGTGTTCGGGAGGAAATCTGCGTGCATACGGTGACGCAAAAGTGTGTGGAATTCGACTGGGTATGCATGCCATCCGACAAACTGTTTGTACTGTATGTATGTGACGTAAACGTGTATGTGACGTAAACGTGTACGTGACGTGAGCAGATCTGGCCAGAGTTTTGCATCTTGGGAAACGCTATAGCAGAGTGTATTCAACTTTTCCACTCTAGAGGGACGTTTCAGATTTTTGCATTTTTAAGCCCCAAAAACGCCGTCACAGTCTAAACGAAAGGCACTTCCGATAAAATATATTGTTGTTTTGACCTGCAAGCTTTCTCATGTAAACAGGCCTTGAGACTTGAGACTAGATGAAATGAACTAAGACTTGGGACTCGACTTGGTCTTTAAGGGCAAAGACCTGAGGCCTGTGACTTGAGAAACACTTTTAAATCTTAATTCTTTCTGTTTTGACCGTAATGATTCACACTAAGATCTTGTCAAGACATTTAAAAAGGAAAAAATAACTAAATTAATTTCTACAACTCTTATATACTCATATATAAATTACTATGATTTTTTAAAGTACAATTTATCTTAAAATTCATATAAATTGCAAAAATCTAAGGTACTTCGCTTTAAAGACTTGAAATGACTTGAAGCTCAAAGCAGACGACTTGGACTTGACTTGGGACTTGACTTGGACTTATGGGCCAGGGACTCGAGACTCGACTTGGACTTGCCTGTCATTGACTTGGGACTTGACTCAGACTTGAGGTCAAAGACTTGAGGCTGGCAAAACAAAAACTTGGTCCCACCTCTGCCTGTCACCCATATTATGCTTTTTTCATATTTATTCTCAAACAGAAAACACTGTATTATTCCACCTTGCGATGCCATGTGGTAATACAAATACTTGTTACAACCCGGCTCGCTGGGGTCAGGGAAGTAACAAAAAAAAAAAAAACAAGGTGGAGAATGGAATAAATTAAGCAATGTTTAATTAACAGGAATGTAAAAGGGTAACTCAAGGCTAAAATATGTATAGAAAATAACCTAAACTAAGAAACAAAATAAAAAGGAGTTTTGTGCCAAAAAATGGGTCATGCAGGTCTCTACAAAAACAAGTGATTAAACTAAGGGACACACAAAACTAAAACACAAGTGCCCCAAAGTAAAACCACATAAACCCACAAACAGAATCAAGTGACAAAATAAAAAAGCACTAAACAGAACTAAACAAGTGTCTCAACACAACAAAGTCAGACAAGTACTAGTACAAACGAGTGACTGACATGAAAGAGACACACACACAAACATAA